TGACTTGTTTGACTGTCTGCCTGTTTAAAAACCAAAGGGACATGCAATATGCAGATTTAATGCACATTTTAAGCATGGTTCTGCTCATTTAAGCTGTCAACTACACAACACCAAGTGTGCATTAAATGCTGGATGTATGTTAATATATTTGAGCTTAGGGAACAATATAAAGCCATTTAAAGGTACAGGTTGTGCATGATATATATTTAAATTTGAAGTGCTGTGTATTTGAATATATAGGTCTTTTTCCCCCTTGAGTGTTAATTATTTAATTGGAAATCCTTTTACTTGAAGTCCTGTCGAATGTGTGTCATACATCTGCAGCTTTGCTGAAACTACAAAGGGGGAAATTTAGTTATTAGTAAATGTATAAATGTACAATTTAGTAAATGTATGAATGAATAATATGTAATGCAATAATTAAATATAATGTTCTGAGAATTCTACGTTTGTCATGGTTATTCTCATATTATATCTAAAATTAAAAGAACATTGATTTTTAAGCTTTGCCTTAGGATGATGACATTTACTTCTTTCAATATTTACAATTTTATTTACAGTTTGACAAACGGCACACTTCTTAGAAAGCAACACAACACTAATTAGTTATATTCAGTGTATATTGTTAGTTATTATTCTCACCCAAAGTGACTTTTCTGGGCCTTAAATTTCTTTAAGGTGTTTAGGAAATGTAAATATATCATAATAGTAAATGTCTCACATGAATGCATGAATAATTATATGAATTAACATGAATTCTGACCGTTATAAATTATATCATTATATTGTACCACAAACAAGAAAAAGAACCCAAGAAATTGTTTATGTATTTTTGTAAGCACTGTTTAGTAGTTTGACCCACATTTTATATTCATCTACGGTTTTAAACATTTCATAATAATGTGTAACTATAACTGGGTATCATTGATACCGGACGTTGGTGCGTTTATGAAGCTTGTTACAGCACTTCCGCTTCGGTAGCGTTGCTAAGGAGACGCCAGCGCGTCGGCAAAACTCGACCGTAGTGAAAATGCCTTGATCTCTTCAAAAACGACTGAAAGAAGCAAAATAGCATAAAAGGTACGACACATTTACCATTTTACCGTATTACGGTTGTTTACAGAATATTTTTTATCAACTTTAACTTATAAATGAGTAAAACCGTAAATTTGAAGTTTTTGTAATGTATAAGCTTATTTATTTGGTAAATTAAGACTGATGCATGCAAGTCTAATGTAACTAATAATGATACTGAAGACTATAACTATCTATCTATCTATCTATCTATCTATCTATCTTGAAACGGAATTGACTTCTATCCATCTATCTATCTGTCTATCTATCTATCTATCTATCTATCTATCTATCTATCTATCTATCTATCTGAGTGATCATCTATCTATCTATCTATCTATCTATCTGAGTGATCATCTTGTCTATCTATCTGTGATCATCTATCTGAGTGATCATCTATTATCCATCCATCCATCCATCCATCTATCTATCTATCTATCTATCTATCTATCTATCTATCTATCTATCTATCTATCTATCTATCTATCTATCTATCTATCTATCTATCTATCTATCTATCTATCTATCTATCTATCTATCTATCTATCTATCTATCTATCTATCTATCTATCTATCTATCTATCTATCTATCTATCTATCTATCTATCTATCTATCTATCTATCTATCTATCTATCTATCTATCTATCTATCTATCTATCTATCTATCTATCTATCTATCTATCTATCTATCTATCTATCTATCTATCTATCTATCTATCTATCTATCTATCTATCTATCTATCTATCTATCTATCCATCCATCCATCCATCCATCTATCTATCTATCTGAGTGATCATCTATCTATCTATCTATCTGAGTGATCTTCTATCTATCTATCTGATCAGAATTCCATGTCTTTTGGAGGAAGGATGCATGTGACCAGGCCTAAGTCGTCTAAGGGACGCAGCAGACCCATGATGGCTCCCACTTTGAGTGAGGATTCACCTTCCCAGTCCTCGTCTCTTTCACCCCAACCTCCAGCCCCCAAGGCAAACGACGGGTTCAACCAATGCCTTCGATCCCGAGCCATTCTGAGACGCTGCAGTCAACCTAGTACAGATATACTGACTGAAATCTTCGACAGACCCCCCGATGAGCCCGTCTCACTCAACAAATACAGGGTTCTCCCTTCCATAGAGAAAAAAACAGGTACGGACCGGACGTTCGGTCAAGGTGACGGCAGCCGTAGGATATGTCATCACACTTCACGTGTCCACACAAAGGCCCGACCAGATGTGACGTCAGGAAGTGAGACGGGTCGAACTCCTCCAGAGGAATCAGGCCTGCTGCTGGCTATCAGAACGCCATGCGGTCAGAGGTTCAAGTGCCATTTCCAGCCAACTGACCAGCTCCAGGTGGTGCAAACGGCTGCAGAGGCTGAATTCGGGGAGAGGTTTGACAAGTGTATGATTGAGACTATGGATGTGCCACGCAGGACTTTTACAAACCTTACAATGACTTTGGCTCAGTGTGGCGTCCTGAACAAATCGGTTTTATGCATTTCCCAAGATGACAGCAACATGGATTTAACTTGAAACTCTAATGTAGTTCAACTTTTTATGGACACTCAAATAATACAAAGAAAAACATGTAGATTTTCTGTCCGATTAACATTTCAAATTATGATTCAAATTTCTCATGATTAAATACATGATTGAACATGGAACAGCAAGATTATTTTGATGGTAAAATGTTTATTCATCCAAGATGTAGATAGAAAAGTACCATTACATCACTTGGTCACCAATGGATTCTCTGCAGTGAATGGGTGCCGTCAGAATGAGAGTCCAAACAGCTGATAAAAACATCACTAATCCAGTAATCAACACCGCTTCTTTACAAAATACCAGTCCATAACCCATAATATGCTTCCTCCAGTGAAAAGTCTATCCCCTGTCCTCTTACATCAAAATCCACCAACATATTTAAGAACTGTTTTCGCTGGTAAACAGTGCTTGATCTGTGCAGATTTCTCTCCCGATTCAGATGAGACAACTTTTTTTTTTTTTACTGAAGAAAGCAATATTAAAGGACTTGTGTTTTAGCTGGAAGCAAGTTTGAAATTAAAACGTCTTAAAGATGGATTTGTTTCTTACAAACATGCAGCTTTTCACTTCATAAGACATTAATTGATGGACTGGAGTCACTTGTGGATTATTGTGATGTTTTTATCAGCTGTTTGGATTCAGAGGATTCATTGGCGAGCAAGTGATGAAATGCTAAATTTCTCCAAATCTGTTCTGAAGAAGAAACAAACTCATCTACATCTTGGGGGGCGAGTCAGTTTTCAGCAAATTTTCATTTTTGAGTCAACTATTACTATAAGGTCAAAATAATGTTGCTTAAAACAACAAATTAAGATCACTAAAAAAAGAAATCAGAAATCAGTTTGGGTCATAAACAATAGGAAGAATTAGACATTACAGACATCTAGATAAAATATATTATATATTATAGATAAAAAGGTTTTACGTTCTGCTTTTTATTTGATTCCCACAAATTAAAACTGATATCAAAATGCAAAGAATTTTCGTCCCTTCATGCAATTTTTTTTTTTTAATTTTTGTCTTTTGACTCAAGACTGCAAGTCAGATTGAAAAAATATAAATCCATGCTAAGAGTATGACACTTGTTGCATTTAATTCTTGCAAAGAAGTAAAAATGATTTGATATCACCACATAGAAATGAGCCAACTTGTAGTTTTATTATTAAAAGAATATATAGGATACAACTATAAAACCCTAAATGCAGCAAATGTACAAAAAAAGGAAACTGAAATGCTGCAGCTAAATGCAATCGCAAATGGGTTTCAGTCAAACAAGGTGCATTAATTTAAGCATCAAAAATGTAAACAAATACTTTTGCATTTAGCAAACAACAGTAGAGCAGCCATTCTTAACAATATAGCTACAATACAACAATATCACTCTTCAGTAGCACTTTATACTTTGTAAAAGTGCTGCATTTCTTGCAAAAGAAAAGAACATGCGAGCAAGTGTTCAAATAATTCACTGTTCAACTAAAACGCAAACTTAATTTTTGGTCTTTCTGAACAGAACAAAAACTCTTCTTCAAAAAGCTTAAATGCTTTTTGCAGTTCAAGTACAATGGCATTGCTATATATATATCAAAATAATACTCTGTTGTGATTTTCACAATAATTCTCATTATAAAATTATTCTAAAGTGCTCTTGAGGAATGCTACTGTTTTGAGTTGGTCTTAAGAGACTGTGTCATTTGTGCGCCTTATTATCATTTAGTTCCAATCTGTAGGCAAGTAAACCATATTTATCAGAGATTCTCTTACTGGCTTTAATCTTCTCACATACTGTGATGGAATAAATACTGAAGTCTGTTTTGATTCTATTCACATGTAAGACCAAAAAGCAGTTGACTGACTTCACAGTGCAACACTATGCAAGATATGCTTCTTTAGTCAAGTAGATAACAGAGAAAATGCCCATGTAAAACTGTCTCCTGTAAACAAGATTAGATGTAGGAATTAGTACTGCAATTCACTTCAAAATCAAAACACACTCTGTCAAACGCAAACGGATTCAAAAAGTCTTGTAACAGCTATAAGCTTAGAATCAAAACTATTTGGCATTAAGCTTGAATTAAAGCGTATTCTCCTAAATATGAGTCGATAATTTAAGTAAACATCTGTCTCTGCAATGCAGATTATTCAAGCATCATATCTGACGAGTTAACAGATCTTCAGCGCACAGACATATTCTCTATATATATATATATATATATATATATATATATATATATATATATATATAGACAGAGAGAGAGCGAGAGCGAATAATAAATTAATTTGATATATTTTTATCATTTATAATTATTCATTATTTTTATAATTCATTAAAAATAAATTAAATAAATACTGGCTGTACTATTACTTTAAGAGGTAAACACTAATGGAAACACTTACTAAAATGCTTTTCATATGTCTTGAGAATCTCCATGCTGCGCTGACTGTCCACCATGTTGACAGCAAGTCCTCTCTTACCAAAACGTCCCGTTCTGCCGATCCGGTGGAGGTATGTTTCATTGTCTGGATTGCCGTCTTTGTCCAGTGGAAGGTCAAAGTTGATCACCACTGACACTTGTTCAACATCAATACCTTTGGATTGACAGCTTGATAATTAAAGGTTGCCGAATTTGTACAAACAAACAAATACTTCAACTTTGGGTTGCAACAGCAACTCTATATTCTCTCAAGGCTGTAAAAATACAGGTTTGCTTCTTATTAGATATATATTAGATGCAATAGTGCACTTGCCTCTTGCACAGACATTAGTAGTGATGAGAACTTTTTCCTTGCCGTCTCTAAACCGTTCAATAACTGCAGCTCTCTGCTCGACTACCATTTCCCCACTGAGGAGCGCCACCTGGTGGCCCTCTTTAGACAGCTGGCCGGCGAGCCAATTGGCTGTTTTCCGAGTCTGAGAAAAGAGGACAACATGAGATGACTAAGTGATAGAGACTCTAAGATGCAGATATCAACCAGTGGCGAACAGACTCACATGACAGAAGATCATAGCTTGTGCTATAGTGATGGCTCCGTAGATGTTACAGAGTGCGTTGAACTTGTCCTCCTTGCTGTTGCAGAGCACGTAGTACTGCTTGATAGTGTCCAGGGTCTCCTCTTCACGTTTAAGCTTGATGATGTTGGGATCTGGCACAACCCGCTCAGCAAATTTCCACACAGAGTCCTCAAAGGTGGCAGAGAAAAGTAACATCTGACAGCCTTTGGGCAGCATTCTGTCAGAGATGGGAAATAGAAACCATTTATTCTCGATCATGCTAAACCATGTTGCATTTACAGTTTAAAGTTACTTTTTTTTCTAGTTAAAAAGAAATCGTAAAATAAATGTCAGACATCAGTATATGTGTTGGTATTTTTGTGAAAATATGCAAAATGATCAATGGAAAATAAGGATATCAATAAATGTAATCTTTGTGTTCATATTAAAAACATTAAAAAAAAGAAGAAACAACATTTAAACCATTTTCAATAAAAAGCTCTGATTTAATAACTAATTTTACTTGATTAAATTCCATTTAATTACAAAAAATAGTTGTGTAAAAAAGAAAAATATTTTCTTTACACCTTGAAAACAAGCATACACAGAATCACTTAAATAAAAAATTATATTTATCAAGACTATAAAAAGTTTTTTTTTTTAAATCATGACTTTTCATGATTTTATAAAAAAAAACTTTCCTATTTTTCAAGAATTTTAGTATTGGAACAATTAAAACACTCTTTATAAAAAAAAAAACTATTTAAATTAAATCTGAAAATCATGCATGTTCATCTTTGAACACGAGTTTTCAAGTTTCTGCCAAGGAATAATTTAAAAAAAAAATTTTTTTTTAAAGTAACTGCCCCTTTTTCTCTCACAATTCAGACCTTTTTTTCTCATAATTCAGAAATGTGAGATGCAAACTCAGAATGCAAGATACTGTATAAACTTGCAATTCTGACATTATATCTCACAAATAAAGAGTTTTTTCTATGAATTCTGATCCTCAGAGTTTACATCTTGCAACAAAATGTATAAAATATATATCAAAAATTTATATCAAAAGAAAATTGCCCCACTTCTTATTTTCTTAAGTAATAATAAAAGTTTAAAAAAAATATTTTTTATAATATATATATAAAAAAATGTAATTATTTTTTTAAACTTCCATAATTTTAGCATTGGAACAAAGAAAAAACTATTTTTTCCTCTAAGGTTCACAAAAAAAAAATCTTGTTTAAATCTGATTTAAATCTGAAAATCATGCACATTCATCTCTGAAAAGGTGTTTTTCAAGTCACTGTATGTATGAAATGCATTTTTAATAATACTAAATTATGTATAAGATCCAGATACAAAAAAAATGTTCATTAGAGATCAAAATCATAATAGATCATATAATCAGCAGTCTGTCTTTGTGTATTTGCTTGCATGCTAGGCTTAGATCACCTCTGAATGCGGATGCTCTGGTCCTGGTGTCCCTGTGTGGCGATCATCACATCAGCCTCGTCCAGAACAAACACTTTGATCTTTTTCGGGTCAATGAGCTTCAGCTTAACGCACCAGTCCAGAACCGTCCCGGGTGTGCCGATGACGATCTGCTCCTTGATCTTAACGCCACGATCCACTGACAGAGGACACAGCAGCTATCACGCACTTAAATCTGCTTTACACATCGCAAGATTCTGAGGCTTCATTTAACCACTTACTTTTATGTCCTCGAACAGCATATGCCAGCTTGACTTCTGAATAGAACTTGCCCATCTGCTCAATGACTTTACCCGTCTGCAGAGCGAGCTCATATGTGGGAGAAATGCACAAACACTGCAACACAGACACAGAGTTGTTGAAATGTTGATCACCAAAGAATGATCAACATTTATGTTTCAGTTCACACTGAAATGAAAACTCGCCCTTGTGACTTTAATGAGTTCATGCAAGAAGATATTTCGCAGATTTTGTTTGTGTACCATGAAAAAGACATGAGGCTGAGTAAATGGCAGAAAAATATGTTTTTTTTAAACAAAAATGACGAACTATGGAAGCCTGTTTCTGACACAAAATAAAAAGTTTATTGCGACTTTACATCTCGCCAATTCCCCCACAGAATAAAAAAGGTAATTGTGACTCTTTATCTTACATTTTGGCTTTTTTTCCTCGCAATTCTGAAAAAAGAAGATTCTGAGATATTAACTCACAATTCACAATTTCTCAGAATTGTGAAAAAACCATAGACTGTATAAAAACATGGACGTAGTGTCCGTGATGTCACCCGTAGGTTTCCGAAGAGCGTTTTTGAAGCCTAAAGTTGGCGGAGCCGGCCGTCGCTATCTTGGCAGCGCGTCACTCCCAGATAATCGAAAATGGACAAAGAGGCGGGAGCTGGTTGCTGAAGCCACGCCCACCAAGCTCGACGGTGGTGACAGCAGCCGCAATCCACCTGTCACTCAAGTGGCCACACCCTTAATTATGCAGAACTTTAAGGCTTAATATAATTTAAACGGATGAGTAAAAAAGAAATTCACCCCCCTCACAGTTGTCATGAAGGGCAAAATTAGCTATATACACCAAAATCATTTTTTGAACCAGGCTGTAAACATGTTTTTTTCTGCTGTAAAGTTGGGCATTTTAACATGGGGTCTACGGGATTGACTCCCTTTTGCAGCCCACCTCTAGCGGCCAGTTGATGAATTACAGTTTAAGTCACTTCCGTGTTGGCTTCACCAGATATTAAACTAACAGATACTGCTATACTTTGATTAATCACAGTACATTAAGGCAGTTCTTTACTGCTTTAATTCTGAAATGTTCTGTTTAAATATGAAAATATTCATAATCTAATGAACCTAAAGTCTCCAAATTGAACAGTGTCTGAAAAAACAAAGGTTTTTACCTGCAGTGTCTTGCCTTAAATCAAAGTGAAAGGGAACATTAGAGTGAATCACCTGAGGCCATTTTAAGCTTGGGTCCACATGACTGAGCATGGCCAGCACGAAGGCAGCTGTTTTACCAGTGCCAGACTGAGACTGAGCAATCAGATTCTGAGGTCTGGCAGTGAAGGAAACATATACAGTCAGGGAAACATATGAGTGTATTAAAACTCAATTCACACGTATACTCAGAGATTTCACGTAAACCTTTTGATGGTCCAATATTGTTCAAATAAAAATAAAATAATAATAATAATTCCAGTTGCATATGTCAAGGGTTTTGAGCCAAAGGGGCTCAAGTGCAAGCCAAACTCTCAAAATGACCTCTGTATTCAATTAAAATAACATTTAAAATATGTGGACTTACGGTTCGGCGAGCATCATGGGAAGGGCATTCTCTTGGATTTTAGAAGGTCTGTTGAAGCCCATTTCATAGACGCCTTTGAGCAACTGAGGTTTCCTGAGTTACACATATAAAATTAATAAAATTGACATATGCAAGCTATCCAAGAGGTGTCGGAGCTTCCAAATATAGTGCACGGTCTTTTTCATATTTATTTCTCCCAAATTCTGAACAGACAGTTAGCAGTAATTGTTCTGAGCAATACAAAATACCGTTCAAAAGTTTGGGGTTGATACAAAATACAAATAAATCTCGCAAATTATTATTACAATTTAAAATAACTGTTTTCTATTTGAATATATTTTAAAAATGTAATTTATTGCTGTGATGCAAAGCTGAATTTTCAGCATCATTACTCCAGTCTCCAGTGTCACATGATCCTTCAGAAATCATTCTAATGTGCTGATTTGCTGCTCAGTAAAAACATTTATTATTATTATCAATGTTGAAAACAGTTGTGCTGCTTCATATTTTGGTGAAAAACTGACCTCAAACCTCTGAAAGGTAGTGTAAATTCACAGCTTTTCCCTCAGATATCATTGTTTTAACACTTATATGAAGTACTCACAGTCTCAGCTCCTCAAAGGTCTTGACTGAATAAAGTGGTGAGTTTGGGTCCCTCTGAAGAACCTCCACTTGGTTCGTGTTGTTGACCACATTGCTTCTGATCAGCTTGTTTAGGAGAGACTGTGAGGCTCTGTCCTCTAAATAGTAGATTAGAAAAGAAACAGGCTACTATGATGGTCTTTTACAGTTAATCCGTAAAGTTTAGGTGTCATTAAGTAACTTAAGTTGCAACCACACACTTTTTAGACTGAAGTACTTACAGCAGCTTTAAATTCAGAATCATTCACAAAAATCTGCTACATTAAACACTAAAAATTAGCATTAAGCAAATAAATTGGCTCAGTTTTAAACCTATGCAAATGAACCTTTTTCTTCTTCATCGGATTTGTCACCATCACCTACGGTACAGGAGAGAGAAAAAAATAGATGATGCATAAGAAAATGCTAAGAAATATTTTCATGCAATTATGGTTATGTTTTGTAAAAACAAATAATAGTTAAAATAATGGGACAAACACACACACACACACACACACACAAACTGTCATCATTTACTCATACTCATGTCGTTCCAAATGTGTATGACTTTGTTACTTAGATGAACAAAAAAAAGGGAGATTTTGAGAAAAGGACAGGTTGTTTCTTCCATCAAGAACCATATAAATGCAAGGTTGTTATTACATGATTTTGGTCTGTTGTTCCTCACTAAAAATGTTACATGACTTGAAAAGATCAACCCTCTACATTGCGAGTAAATCACTCGCATATGCCACTAAATTTTCACTCTGGGCGACTAAGTGATGTCTAATATTAGCCAATGGCTAATCAATTCTCAGATTTTACTCGTCAGTGTGTGAGTTGAAAACTGAGTATATGATTAGCACAGATATATTTGGACTCACAGAACACTCTGACTGAGCGCTTCAGAGTTTCACTCTCCGTCAAGCGATCTGTGCTATTTTTCAGTTCATTTGAATGGCTGCGCAGCACACCTGTGTTTGTGTATTTGGCGTAACGTAAACTCTAGTGTGAAGTGTTCTCTCACTGTGAGCAAAGAGCGAGAGCGAGCGAGAGTCTTACATAACATGCAGAATTGATGTGCTACATGTAAACAATATACTTTGTTGTATTTTCCTGTAAAAAATAGTTCCTTTGGAATTCTTTAGCTTTTAAGAACTGCCGGGTTTTCCAGTAGTGGGCGGAACTAATGCGCAAACGTCAATCTCATTGGCTGGCGCTCACGTATTATCATCCCTGTTTTGATTTCAGCGAATCAGTTCGAGCAAACGCACATAACCTGATTAATATTCATGAATCCAGCAGCTCATTAATCCTTAGTGCGTTTTTATATTGTTCTTATTAGTAGAATTCGTATATAATAATAATAATAATAATAATATCTTATCAGTATTATTGTTTTTTTTTTTTTTTACAGGAACACTGAATGACCAAAAAAAGCACCAGCACCAGTC